CAAATATGTAAATATGTCCCTCGTCTTTGCCAAGAATTCATCGAACGATAGAGTGGTTTATCGTGCTAATGTACCGTACAACGGTGATTATTTAAATTTTTTACATGGATGTTTGCACCCGTGACAGGCGTTACCGCGATTCCACGTAAATTTCAATTAATTGATTTATGGGGCGTGTGTAGAGGAAGAATGTTTTTTGAAATTGGAAATGTCGCACTGTTCAAAAAATTTTGCTTAATTTTCCGGACAATGTCAATGGAATTTCAAGTTTCTCTTGAAGTTCCGAGAATTTCAAAGGAATTCCCTGAAAATTTAAGCGAATTTGTCAGTGAATGTTCATTTTCATTTGGAAATTCATGTGAATTTGGCAATTTCCGTCTGCCCGCCGTAAAAAATGGAGCTTTATATGAATTTCCAAGTGAAAATGAATATACACTGCCAAATTCGATTGAATTTTCAGGGACATATCGCTGATTTTCAAGAATCTATCCCGGACAATCTTGGAAATTATGATTCTGAAGTCTCCATTTTCCAAAAATACAATAAAATATAATGATAAATATTCACAATGAAGTTGGGGATTCAAGCTGTCATTGAGACATCAATGAAAAATCAACGACTTTACAAAACGTATGAAAAAAAACAATATTCGCGAATTCTGCCAGCATATTCCGTCCTTCCTCTGTATACAATGAGATTATATCAATAAAGACTTTATCCCTTTTTACATCACAAAGAGGCGCCTATGTTTCGGCTCTTTGTGTTGATTTTCACACGAATGGTTTGAAAAACCCACTAAACCCTCTGCCTGATCCATCCTGCATGATTAATACCCTCATTCCACCGTATTTGAAAGGCACTGCGAATCCCTCCCCCTCGCTAGGGGAGCAATTCACCAATTCCAATTTTCTCCTCATTTCCCCTATTCTGCCACTACAAATACTCGTGTCATCGACACTGTTGAAAATTTCTTGAAATTTTCGATATTGTGAGTTTGAATTCACTTTCAGATGGAAGCGTTCACAAAATTTCTCGTTCATCTTAGAAATTCAGGAAAATTGGGTTTTTCATGTTTAAGAATCATTGATTTTTCATCAATGTCATTGAAAGCTTGACATCACATACAGTACAATTTCCAATACATTGAGAATTCAGAAAAGTTGGTTGCCTCAATTTTCAAAATTTTCAATGTTTTTCAGTGCCGTATGGACATGACAATAGAGAATTGCTCGAATATTCAAAAAATTAACTGTTTAGTCACGGAAGAAATGAACAGAAATTTCATGTAACTTTGTCGTTGTTGAAAACTTCAAGCTTTTCCACTCGAAATTTCAAGAGTACTTTTCTAACAGTGGAATTAAGCCTAAATATTTCGTCACGTCTTAGTTTTTCGCTGACTAACCCGGCATTAAAGTTGAATTTATCAAGCGACTTTTTATCCACACGCTCCAACAGTATATCAGACATGCGACAGACGTGTTGGTCACACATATCCAACATTCGTCACGTACAGGTCTGAAGTCATGCATAAATTCACTCTGCTTCGCCCAAGTTTCTCGACCTCTATATACATCTTTTTTCCCTTTCTTTCCCCGCCCATTTGCCACAACATCAAGTTCCACGTTATGTAGGTGGATTGTCACGACTACGTGGTTTGCAGAGTGGTATCGGAGCACCTGTCGAACTTGGAAGCCGCGATCAATGCTGAACAACTGTCCCCCTTATATTCCACTGTAGAGAATACTGGGGGCGCCGATGTAAGTGGGTGATTGCAATTTTCCTACGAAGAACATCGCAGACAGTGCCCAGCGTGTGATTCCATCGAGCTCGCAGATAATACTATATTCCGTTTGATTATCAGCCGATAGAGTCGGCTTTGGTGGTTGTCATGGCTGGGCGGGTGGAACGGAATCCAGTTGACACAAGAGCACGATAGTCGGGCGTGATCCGACAATTTGTCTACTTCAATTGACGTATGTTTGGAATTGTTATCTAGGATGTGACACGATATTTACATTCGCTCGGAACTTTGTTATCGTGCCGTTGGGGACAAGTTTTTTACGCTGTATCTGAGAAATATTGAAATGTAACAGCCAATTCCGACATTTTTTTTCAGGAAAACCTTGAACTCGTTGGGTTGGAGATTTTTCGTGTTGTCAGTGGATTATCTCCTTTTTCTTTTAAAATTCTTTTAACATTGTTGGAAAAAATTGAAATTTCATGGACTGTTGACTAGTAATTTTCCGGGGAGTGACACTGAATTCGATTTGGGGGGATTTGGAATATTCAAGAAATTCCGCAGTTTTGAGCCGCAGGAAACTGAGAATTTCTCAACTTACTTGAATTTACAATTAAGGATATCCAAGTATTTCGTTCAAGTTAGCAACTTTTGTCAAGCAAGATTTCAGTTTTGTCGAGAATTTTCATTGTTGAATACATTTTTTTGAGAATTTCTGCAATGAATATTGTGAACGACATTTTATTCAATTTCACACTTGACTTTTGTCGGTTCAATCTCTAATGATCGTACGGCAACACTGCACATGTGTTCCATATAATCCCGTAAATTCGCTCTGAGTAGTCACAGACCGAACTGCACAGACTTGAGCGGACCATTGCCAGACGTTAGGAACGCGCGGAGTCAAACCAGCCAATATGGCCGCCCTACCCATTAATAAGCTTTTAATTAGATTGTTTGTAATTATCTCTCTGGAATCTTATGTTTTTTAATGTCGCAAAAAAATAGAGAGTATTACGAATAAAGTCATATACGGCTATGTGTACGGGAAAACGCTTTAAGGGGTAACGGAATGCCGCTAATTTTCCAATTTTTTGAACAAAATTCCTGCTGAAAGTTATCGATATTTTTACAAATCCAAGCGCATTAATCTCCAGGAAGACCAATGTGCTTTGGGTTCAAAAAATATTAATAACTGTGAGCAGGAAATTTGTTCAAAAATTTCGAGGAAACGGCAGCCTTCTGTTACCTCTTAAAACTATAACCTATTGGATTAAAGTTATGAGTATACAACTCTGATGGACGCAATGTGTTAAATTTTATTTTTTCAAAAATTGTTTTCTCGAATAAATGTTGGGAAACTAAAGTTGATATTGCCTCCAAAAACTACTCATGATCTATTCTATAAACTCTGAAGAGCATTTCCCCAGGAAAAATTGTGTCAACTACTTGGATATCCTTAATTGGAAATTGATTCTCATGAAATAATTAAACTGAAATTTACAAATTCCATGCATTTTGCATGAACTTTTAAATTTTCAATGCCGAAATTTCTTGAAATTGCGATGACGTGCACTGGGAAAAAAAATTACTTTTGCCAAGGAATCATTTTCTTGGGAGAAGAATTTATTTTTTTAGGAGCTTATTTCTCTAGGCCAGTCATTCCCAGGTGGTCCATGTCCATCTCCAAATATTAAAATTATGTTGAATAATGAGATGATTATGCTACATATGACCTTGAACGAATACGCTTCATTATTTTTCAATTTTTTCAAATTCGAGGTTTTCTAACGTGTAATAATTTGAAATAATTTTAAAGGTTAATAATTGTCAATGGAGTTCATTCAAGATCATATGCAATATAATCATTCCATAATTGAACATAATAGTCATATTTAGAGATGGACTTGGACTCCTTGATAATGACTGGCATAGAGAAATACGCTCCGCAAAAAATAAATTCTTCTCCCAAGAAAATGATTCCTTGGCGAAAGTAATTTTTTTTCTCAGTGTGATAAAAATTTGTAAGAAATGTATTGGGAATATCAGGCAAATATTTTGAACAGTGAATAATTGAACTTGAAATAATTGCAATGTGGCAGTGGGTGGAAATTGCTACAGGTGGTACTCTAACCCTTTATCATTTGTTTACAGGAGAACGGGGCAAAGTGGAATGGTGGTGAATTACATTCTCAAGGATCAAACGTTCTTCAAGCTTGTATCTGATAATTATTGAATTGCAATATCCGATTGCAATATTTTTTCAGGAAAACCTTGAACTCTTCGTGCTTGAAGTTCTGTTGTTAGTGAATTATCTCTCCTTTCTTTTTAGTTGAATAATGATAACGAGTTTTGGGGGAGTTTCCGCTCTGTGATTCCCTTGTTCTCCATTTTTACGTCCACTATTTCTCTTCCCACATTATCTAATATCTCCGCTGCGAAATGTGAAGGTTTTCGGTGCTTAAAAGGCCTCTCTCCTTTCTCACCAGTGCTTTTTCTCTCCCCATGGTCGTGCTGATAGGGAGAGCACAAGGCCAGGCAATTGCTTTGTGCTTGCGTGCTACGGAAGTCAGGGGTGCACGGATATCGAACTCGTGCTGGAATTTTCGGTTGGGTTTGCAGTCTTACCCACCATATTCACGGTTGCATCGGGGTTGGATGTAAGAGGGAAGACGCCAAACGGATAAATGAAAACTGTCGAGTGGATGGAAACAGGCTCACGAGAACTAACCGTCGACTGAGGGAATAACTTTCGGGAGGGAACCACCCCAAAAGGGTTAACGAAGGAGAATTATCACGAGTAGAAAAGTGATTGAGTTGGGAATTGGAATTTCACAACAACGTGAAATTCCAAGTTTTAGGTAGAATTTAAATGAACTCAAATGGTTTCAAGTAAAAAAAAGATGGGAATTTCACGAGTTTCAATTGAAAACGATAATTTAGTACCAAAAAGAACTAAATTTTGAATCGAGTTCAAATTCGATAATATATTGGAGAGCAATAATTGAACTTTGAATGGACATTTCTCATTTATTTTCTCATAAGTTTAAAATTGATGGTTTCTCATGATTTTTTCCAATGCAATGTCTAATTTTAAATAACGAAATTTTATGAAATTTCCGTTGAAACGTGACTTCGATGAAAAAAAGTAACGACTAACGAGTATTGAGGAACTAATGCTTTCTCATCTTGTAACGACTACTTTCGGGAGATGAAAGGAATGAAATTGTACATCTCTAACGATGAATATTAAATTTCTCACCTTTTCCTCAATTTTTTCCCCTGCACTCTGCACCATATCCCCAGCGGCCTTCATCACCGAGGAAACTGCCTGCTCCTTTCTCGACATGTGGCCGCGGAAAGATGCCTGAATCTTTGTCGCTGCGTTACACAGGTCTGCAACATACCATTGCAAGCGAAATTAAGTTATGTAATATTAACAGTAAAACCCGAGGTTTTTCACGTCAGAATATTCTCATAATTCTGCCGAGTGTACCATGTGGCAATCTCGCGGGTGGGGAAAATGGTTTATCATTTTCATGCGTGAGGGAAAAAACATGAAAAATGTGAGGAAACGTGTTGGGGATTCCTGGAGGGTTGTTTACTCATACTTATTGGGGGAAAACGTGAGCGGGAGGTGGGGAGGGTGATACATTCGGAGGAATGGCGATGGAATTATTCAGGCAAGTTTACTCCAGTTGAGTGAGTGGGTTATTTAGTGATCCACGAAAGTTTTAATCAGCTGTAATTGACTCGACTCGTTAAGCTGTGTCATCGATCGCTAGTGGGAATCTCATAATGATGACTATTTTTTTATATACTTTGGCAAAAAATTTATAAAATCTGAGGCATATTGGCTTGGGATAAGTAATTTTTCTTCAATCGCTTAACTCTCCCACACGGTTAGAAAATTACCATCGGAGGTGCGAGAAATGTTGCAATAGAAAATTTTTGTTTTCACCCGGGGCCGAAGTGTCAGATCTTAGATTTTTCCCGGGGGAATGTTGACTTTCGTCAAAATCGAATTTTTTCGCCCAGTGAAGGTTGATTCTGTATTTATTGGCCCTTCTAATGCCAATGAAACCCTCGGAAGCGCCACAAATGTCGAAATAAAAATTTTTTTTTTTCACCTGAGGCCAAAGGGTCAGATCTTGGGTTTTTACCGGGGGAAAGTCGACTTTCGTCCAAATTGAAATTTTCCGCCAAGTGAGGGTTGATTCTGCATCTACTCGCGATTCTGATTCCAATGATACCCTCGAGGTGGAGAAAAGGTCGAAATAAAAAAAAAATTTCACCCGGGGCCAAAGTGTCAGATCTTGGGTTTTTACCGGAGGAAAGTCGACTTTCGCCAAAATCGAATTTTTTGGCCAAGTGAATGTTGATTCTGTATTTATTGGCCCTTCTAATGCCAATGAAACCCTCGGAAGCGCCACAAATGTCGAAATAAAAATTTTTTTTTTTCACCTGAGGCCAAAGGGTCAGATCTTGGGTTTTTACCGGGGGAAAGTCGACTTTCGTCCAAATAGAATTTTTCCGCCAAGTGAGGGTTGATTCTGCATCTACTCGCGATTCTGGTGCCAATGATGCCCTTGGATGTGGGGAAAAGGTCGAAATAAAAAATTTTTTTTTTCACCTGAGGCCAAAGGGTCAGATCTTGGGTTTTTACCGGGGGAAAGTCGACTTTCGTCCAAATAGAATTTTTCCGCCAAGTGAGGGTTGATTCTGCATCTACTCGCAATTCTGGTGCCAATGATATCCTTGGATGTGGGGAAAAGGTCGAAAAAAAAATTTTTTTTTTCACCCGGGGCCAAAGGGTCAGATCTTGGGTTTTTACCGGGGGAAAGTCGACTTTCGCCAAAATTGAAATTTTCCGCCAAGTGAGGGTTGATTCTGTATTTATTGCCCCTTCTAATGCCAATGAAACCCTTCGAAGCGCCACAAATGTCGAAATAAAAATTTTTTTTTTTCACCGGAGGCCGAAATGTCAAATCTTGGATTTTTCCCGGGGGAAAGTCAACTTTCGCCGAAATCGAATTTTTTGGCCAAGTGAATGTTGATTTTGTATTTATTGACCCCTCCAATGCTAATGAAACTCTCAGAGGCGCCACAAATGTCGAAATAAAAATTTTTTATTTTCACCTGGATCAAGGGTCAGATTTTTTAACAATTTCATTTTTGATTTGTACGTGAAATATGTTTTCTTTGCATCCTGAGATTTCGTAAAATCCTAAGTCATTGAAAATAATTTACTTCTCTCAAGTAAAAACGACCCACACCCCAGGAAATTTTTCTCTCGGTGTAGTGAGCAACTGGTTCATTAACCCAACCCGAATTTATTTCTGATTTAATGAAATCTCCCTTGAAATTTGAATAGAGGCCTCACGCATGCGAATAAGCGATTCATTAAAATGAATGTCATTGAGTCATTGTAATTAAATTTCCCCGGTACAAGTGACCAAATCCACCAAATGTGATTACGTAAATCCACTGGATTTTAATGAACCAGTTATTCCTACCTCAATGCATCTTGTATTAAATTTCAATGAATAACCTATTGGAAATCAATACTCTATTATCTTCTTAGGGTAACAAAGAGAGTCGACCCAGCATTATTCGAATAAAGTGCTGGAGCATAAACAGAGTTTCACTCTCAATCAGAGTCGACAGTTTTATCTGATGCGTCTGTGAGAGAGATAAGTCGGGGGATTCTTGGGGAAAAAACCGTCTCTCGGGTGGTTTTTAGCTGGGCTCGGCAAAAAAAATGGGAATTTAATTGTGGCTCGGAAAATTAATTGTCCAGGGCAAGTTTCCTCGTCAATCACTCCGGCCCACAAGAACGCTGAATTACTCCCGGAAGGGTTGAATGAGACTCACCAACGTCGTCCGCTCGGAATTCCTCCTGCAGTTGCTCGATGGTCGGTTCGCTGTCCTCAGAGTTATTTTTACCCTGTGACGATGTATCAGTGTCTTTCATACTCTTTCTCGCCTGATGACCCCGAAACACCGCCTGTATTCTCGTTGCAGCCTCCTCTTTCTCCTTATCACTCGAGTCGTTTGATTCGTCTCCTGTTTCCGCCTGTTTTGTCTCCTCAGTTGTATCAACTTCTTGGCTCACTTCCTCCTCTTTGTCGACTTGGCTTGCAGCACTTTTTGGAATATCTGAAACAAAGTGATGAGACAAGTGAGTGAATGAGTGGGGCAATGGGGGGAAATTATCACCAGTAGTACTTGAAAGGGTTTCACGAAATATCAGAATAATGAAAAAACTGGTGGTCCCTGGTCAAGTGAAGATATTATAACTTGATTTGATAGATATTAGCAGAAGGAATATTTTGACGTCAAAAAAATTCAATTCAGTAGCGTAGTTTTTGAGATATGACAATTAATCCACAAAATTTCAGATTTTTAGCTCAAATTTTACTCATTTTTTGTGAAGATTTATAAAAAAATCGGAATAATCTGCACATATATTCTTTTTCTAAAAATATTATCTTCACATTTCATGACATTCTACATCACTTCCAAGGGAAATTACAAGATCGTCAGAATGAACGATTACGAAGTTTCCGTTCGGGAGCAACAAAGAAGCGAAAAATTCGAGGAAGAAATATCAATCATTAGAAATTTTTTGTATTCTTTCCAGATATCGGCTTCAAAAAAAATGAAATTCAGATGGTTTTGTAATACCTCCAGCTATAAGTCCGCGGTTACCTCACTCTCAATCAGGAAAATTTTCATACGCCCCGAAAAAATTATGGACTATTAAAAAATTGTGAGAGATAAATCAAATCTTGCTTGAAAGTGCATATAAGTTTGAGAATTTTTCTAGATTTCATATAGAAGTTTTTCACTTTGTCCCTGTCCCTCTTACGCTATTAAAAAAAAATTCCATGGACAGTGCCGCGGGAAGTTCCAGAAAAGTGACATTGCATTCGAGTTAGGGGGAAAAGGCTGATAGAATTAAAAGTTTGCGTTAGAATTCAGGTCAATTAATTATTTTTAAGTAGAAAAATAAAATGTGAATTACACGCTCCATTAGAATTTCCAATTGAACATGAATATTGGGTAATTCAGCAGAATTTCCAATGAATTCACAACCTCAGAGTATATTCACATAAATTATACTAATTTATGCAAATGTTCATGGAATGATTGAACTGCAATTTAGAGTTCCCCTTGAATTTCCCCATCAAATTACGTGAAATTAAATGGAATATAAGAGTTTTGAATAACGAGCTTCCCCGAAATTTCGGTGGAAATATCAGTCGATCCATATTTCACGTATTTTACATGGTAAATTCAGACCACAATTTTTAACAGCATGTAATTTCCAATTTTGTTAATGCAATATTGAGAGCTGAGTCCCTATAAACTGATATAATCAGATAAAACTGCTTGTTCGAATTTCCCAGTGGAAGCATTTTCAGTGATGTAGAGAGATTATCAGCAATGTAATCTCGTGATTTTTAAGAGGTTAGAAATAGAGATCATAATGAGGAAATAATCTTTCACTGAGATCTTTAGTAGCATTAGAGTCAAATCGTAAAAATTCGCACGGAAGCAAATTTCAAAGAAAAATGATTATGAAAGCCACTATGATTGCGGGGTAATTCATCATATTTGAGAGTGAGCGGAATATTTATATTTCCCAAACACATTGTTATTGATTCAAATCTTCAAAATGAGATTCCACGCAGAGATTACTGGGATATATTCCTCCCAAATAAATTCATTCAATGCAAATGGATTATCGTAGGAGCATCCTCGAATAATTCCGCTTCTGTCATGTGGAATCTTGAATTTTTCATGTCAGAGACTGCTCGATGGAATTGATTTATTCCCTTGAAAAACACAATACCCCACGCATAAGCTGACTGGAATTTTTATGAGGAATTTTGGTGCGTGTGACAGCTTTTACGGGCGAAATTTCACTCTCGTAAATGTTCATTTTCCATTTTTCACTCACATTTTCCAATAAAATAATTACATGCATTCCACCATGTCCACAAAAGCTGTGAAGCCTTTGATGAGAAACTGAGGGAGAAAATGGCGTGTCATTGTATCGTGAAATTTCATCTCTTTTGAGCACAAGTTCCCGGTATTTTCCATTGTGAATAAATAAATTAATCAATAATGCTAATTGAATTCATGGGACGGACTTCCACAGCTTCAATTTCCCGGTGCGATTCTATCCTTCATAGAATATATATCTAGCGATATTTTCCCTCGTTTTTATCGATGTTTCGCTTCGTTTCACGAAAACGTCATGAAATTTTCCCCGGAATTCCAACGTTAGACATTTCGATCACGTTTCAGCTGATGTTTCTTATCGCAATAGCGCCAAGGGAACTCTAACGAGTTGTGCAGAATCAGAGCACGATCGACTGGCTCTTACCCAGTCTCTTTTCAAAATAACACCCTGCATGTAATGGATGGAGTATTCCACAATTTTACACTAAACAATGGGACGTGTCCTCGAATGATTGTCACTAGTTATGCTAGGTGGGCTTTCGATGCCGACGGTCTGACGTCTGATGCTGTGTTCTGAGTAATACTATAGTTGTTTTCAACGATGAATGTGTAGGTAACTAGAACTACGGAGCTCGTTTGTATCGAGGGCTTCTATAGGAATGCATCGCCTCGACTTTCTCGAGTAACTGGATCTTCAGTAACTGTCAATTCTCATTCACTCTCTTTGATATATTATATATAGGAAAGGGTGGAATTACACGGAGAAAAATGGATGATAAAACATTCCCCTCACACGTGCGGTTGCGGGAAACAGAGAAATTCTGGAATAAAAAGAGAACTGAAATTTTACGAGTTAGCATGACGGTTGGAGTTATTTTTCTTTCCGAGTTGGAATTTCGGAGAAAGATATTTACATGACGAATTTTGGGAAGCTATAAAACATCAATTAAAAGTCAAATATTTGAAATTTATGATTCCTATAAAAAAGGAAAAAATAATTCCACTTTTTTTGACAATATCTCAAAAAACAAGAACTTTTCTCCTAACACATAAAACGAAGATTCACCCTCGTAAATTTTTTTCGATTTCCCCACTGACCCAGAGCCGCATTTACACCGAAAATATGTCTTCAATAATTGAAACCCTAGCGCCGGAAACGAATTAAAACCACTGCTCTTGAATTATTTAACTTTCAGCGTTCTTCACTTTAATGATGAAAAAAGAAACCCCCAGTCCTCGTGAAACTTTTCTACGTTTCGGGTTGGAGGTGGGGGAAGAAGACAAGTGGGAGAAGTTGTATCAAATCTCTAGGGTTTGGTGAGACCTCTGTGGACGCATCACAAAAGCCAGGGGAGTGGCTGCATCTGGAGAAGTGGGAGTGCGATAAGTTATTCAGTGCTTCGGTTAATCGCATTCACGAAAGTCCAAGAGATAATCTCACCAGCTAATTGTATACTGAATGCGTGTGCAGAGAAATTGTTGGAGTGTTATGCAGCAGTTGTACGTCTTCCTGAGGACTGAGGGGACACATTAAGCCCGTGGGGGTGTACAATCTCAGGCTGCTATTAGACTTCGTTAAACATTTGAATCCGTAAATATGCGGGATGATGATTTATCCGGTGGATGAATCGGAGAACCATGGTGAAATAATTTCCATTCACCGGAGGGATGACGGTGAGAAAAAAGGGAAATAGAAACAACTGATGACATAGCGCTTGTTGTCCCTCTGGGGCGCGAATCGCTGGCTAATTTGGAAGCCTGCCAAATTCTCACCATTGCCAATTACATGAGCCGTGGAGCTGGGAAAAAGTACTCTCGGTTGGACGCCTAGGAGGCGGCCAAAATTACTACTCAGAAACTTCTTTACACAAAATAAAAGAGTTTAGAAGATGTAAAACTTTTTGGAACACTTATTGCGGACGGTGGAGCTTCGCTTGATACACTTGGGATTAATCGGTGGTATGGGGCGAGGAAAAGTGTATCTTTGGGGTTTGAAGGGGTGAATTGAGGAGGGAAGGGGTAAAATCCGGAGATATTGATAACGATTGAAATTTCGATAGAAGAAATCGAAAACTTTTGTTCACGAAATTTCTCTGATATTCTGCGAGGATTTCTTATGAAGGAGAGGATTCTAATTGAAGTTGAAACCCACTAATGTGATCAAAGATGTTCTCCAAATCAAATTTACTCTTCGATGTTTTTTTTTCCATCACAGAAATCTCACTAGTCCCAATGGCTTCGCATGACTTCGTGTACCCACTAGAGAATTACGTCAGTGCATCCACCGATTGCGAATGAATACTTCACGTAGTTCACGAAGCCAAGTAAAGAATCGAAGGAAAATAGAAGGAAAAATTGTACTTTCCGTCATCATATGAAGTAACCACAAAATAAAGAACATTATTTAATAAAGACCGAAGCAGTTGACTGTTACCCTTGAATTCCCTGGACAAAAATAAAATTCTTGTCAAAAATGCATGGAGAGGAATGCATAATAGAAATTGATTGTGATTTGTCAATGACAAGATTTCCTGAAATTTCAGTGGAACTTACACGATAAAAATTTCGGGAATTTGGCACAGAAAATTCAGACGAAAACGGTTAACAGTGTATATGGAAGAAATTATATCACATAACTGTGATATTCATCTTCCTTTCCGTTTTTTCCAAAAGATTATTTAGAATTGCTATTATGCTCGTAGAAAATACACTTGTAGGGCGAGGAATTATCCGGAATAAAAGAAAATCTGTTTTTCTCCATTTTCACTCGTTTCCTGATTAAAAATGTCCCGAAAACGTATTTCGCTAAGTGTTTACCATGCGCATGAGGGTGATTTTTACGACATATTGCTCTCTGTGTACCAACACTTTCCCTCTTCTCCGTATTCTGGAGGGGAACACTTCATAACTCAGAATTGCACGAATACTTCAGATACTTCTTCAAGTGCACTTAAAAATCGAACGGCAATGTGAAAAAAAAAATCCCACAACTCGTCCCCATTTCACACAACCGTCATAAATCTTCAGAACTATAAAAAATCCACAACCTCCCCAACATTACGGATTCCTCAAGAAGTAATTCGAATATGAAAAAAATTATGATGTACAGTTTCATGATTTTTATCGACCGTGGCATATATTTGATGAATTTATTTGGTTTCGCGGTTATTCGTGATTCCTGAGATGTT